TTTAATTTTTAAATTTTCCCTTTTAAGATTAAAGAAAAGGGTACTTTTAAAGCAAAATTGGGGAAGTAAGGTTTAAAGAAAAGTAAAAATTAAGGAAAAATTATGAAAATGAGGATAATTTAAAGAAAAAAAGGGGTGTGGGGGGGTTTTTAGAAGAAAAAAGAAAGGAAGGAAAAGAGAAAAAGGGAGAAAAAAAAAGGGAAGAAAAAGAACGCGAAAGATAATAGGTCAAAAGTTGGGGGGGTTTTAAGAAAAAATGAAGAATTGAGTTAAAAAAACGACGGGAGAGCTAAACTCGAAATAAGTTGAAGGAACAAGAGTTAAATTGAATGCAGGTGAAAAAAAAACAATCCTAAAAATGTCTGTTATTTGAAAAAAAAACCGTCCCGGGTTTAGGAACCGGTTAGAGGTTAAGCCGTTAATTAACGCGTTAGTTAATGAACGGTGGAAGGCCACGTCGTGTGATTGCGAAAAGGAGAATTGTGACCCCTAGGAAAATACACGAACTTTTTTTCAACCGTCAAAAAAAGGGGGATGTAACAAAAAAAAATAAAATGTGTAAGTTTGAGGAAGGAAAAGGAAAAAGGGGGTAAAAAATTAGAGATGGAAAAAGGGGAAGGGGAGGGGGCCATTGGGAAAAAAAACCATTATTTGTTATTTTGCAAGGAAGTCGGTCACAAAAAACCCCTTTCCCTAAACTTATAAAAAAACATTTTGAAACAGTGTCTGTTTGGGAGGGGCTCGGAAAGTGAAAACCCTTTTTTGGGGAATTTAAAGTTAGATTTGAATTGGGTGGTGTAGAGCGTGGGTTTTAAGAGATACTCACCATGAATCTGTGGAAGTTGGATGGATGAGAACAATTTTTTGGGGAGAATTTTTTTGGGTCAAAAGACCTTTGGGATACATATAAGCTTCCCTCAAAAAGGAAAAAAATTTAAGCCCAAAGGGGGAGGCGAGTTTTACAGAAGGCAGTAAAACAAACAGCCCCTGGGGCGAACCTTACTTTTTGGGGAAACCACACAGCCGATCAAATTGACAAGAGAAAAGAAATTGCACAATAAATACGACTGTGACTCAAAACGTTGGGTAGGATTCCTTTTGATAAGGAAAAGGGTTATGTTTAAACTCGAGGAGCGCCCTTTTCAATTGAAATCAGGGATCCAGTTTTCAACGATAGAAATTTATGTTGAACCAGCGTAGGGTTTCCAGCGTTTGTCGGGAAAAAAAGGGGAATCAGCTCAATTAAAGAACTCCGATTTTAGTTCAGAGGAGAAATGAAAGCCCCCCAATTTTGGGGGGCAAATTAGGTTTAGACGAATGTTGTCAAACAAGGGGAAGGAAAACTAGAGAGGCACACGGGAAAGGAAGAAGGGGAGAAATTCCAAAAATAGGTGTGCCCCCTTTAAATTTACACTAGAATCTAACCGTTGAGCCACCCGGGAGTGACCATGGGGGAAAGGGTTTTAGGAATTTTTTAAAAATCGCCTTGAAGGCACCTCGCGGAAAAAGGGAAAACGAATCCTCCCGCATTATTTGCGTTCCACCGTTTCGCATGAAAACAAAGGTTTTAGCCCCCAAAGGGGGATAGCGAGGAAAATTAAACCCCTCCCCCCCCCGATTTACGAGAAGAGAAAATTTACGGGGGAAATTTCCCGGGGCAAAAGGTTTTGAGAATGCGTTTGGAAATTTACAGGTAGTTTGGGTTTTTAACTTATTTCTTTTCATCCCGAGTTCTCAGTTTTTTTTTTTACAAATGGAAGAATGCAAACTAATGGCACAGGTTTTGGAAGGATTAGGGTTTTCTCTCCCCCACATCGATGACTACCATCTTTTTCCCCAAAAATTGAAAGCTGTGATGCATATTGACCTGTGCGGGGGACTAAAAATGGCCGGTTTAAAAAAAAAAAAACCTTCGAAATGCGATTCGCGCAGGAGGAGGGTTATTCCTCGGTCATACCGTAGGTTCTAGTGGGTCCCCCAGTGATATGAAATAAAGGCTATAAAAAATTTTCCTCCCCCCCTACTAAAAACCAAGTGAGTTTTTTTTGGAATCGAGGATACACGCTCATTACACCCCAACTATAGCGGATACGTCACCCCCCTTTTTCCCCCACGCCCCCGGGGAAAAAAATTAAAAGGAAAAACATTACGTGGGATGAAAGATGCAGAAAGGGGCGCGGAATTGAAGGATAAACTTGTCTCGAAACCATTTTGTTTTCCCCGTTTTGAAAGATTTTATTTTGCAGACGGACCGGATATAGGGGGGGTAGTTTGTCGCAGAAAATAAACGGTGAGGAAAACCCTATTCTCCTAAGTAAAAAATTTTAAGGGCGGAAAGAAATTATAGCACGGTAGAAAGGAGTTTGCGCGATAATATTGGCAAAGGGCCACTACCCGATGGTCAGAAGTTTATTATAAAAAACCCATCACAACCCCTAAAAAACCTAAACAAAATGGGGGGGCAATCCCAGACTCAAAAATGGGCTTTAAGTCTACAACCGTTCATTTTTTTCGGCATAAACCAGGAAACTTATGGGGAAAGCCACGGGTTAATAGATTAGAGTGATAACTTTTCAGTTTCTTTTTTAAAATTTTTCTTTTTTTGTGTGTGTGAATGTATGTCTGTGTTGTTTTGTAAAAAAAAAGAGTTTGTTATCAAATCTTTGAGCCCTTGGTATGCAAAATGGAGATGGGATAAAATGGTAAAACCCCCCCGCGGAAATTACAGTGTTATTTTAGTTATCTGTAATTTAAGTTAATTTTCTGCCCGAGGGTGACTTTTCATCAGGGCCGCTCGCAGAGTTGGGAGCGTGATGGAACTTTCCCGGTCCCAAATGGCCCGAAGGGGAGGCAGTGTGACGAAACATTCTCCTTCCCCCATTTTTTAACAGATCCCGTGCCCAAGAAGCGCGTTGGGGAAATTCCCTTTATGGCTGGGGAAAGGGAAATTTTGTAGCTGGGGGGCAGTTTTGGCACCCTTTTTCCCAAGCCGGACGGTTGGGGGCGCCTTTCATTGTGTGCCCTTTTCCCGAATCGGAGGTGCCGTCTCGTCGGAGAACATGCCCCCAGCCTTGGCGTCTTTCGGGCTGGCGGGGGCGAGACAATGGTTTGGGGCGGGGAGGGGCGACATCAAAGAGGGGAGACCGGAAGGGGCATCAGGGGATAGGCCAGGCCCAAAAAAAAAGCGGGGGATGAGAGGGAAAAAAAAGCATAAAACGGGGGAAAAAAGAGAACTGATCTTGGGGAGCGGGGTTCGGACGTCCCGAGCCCATAGGGAAAAGGAAGTGACCGAAGTACAACGGTTCCCCGGCTGGAAATCCAGGAACGGAAGAGTGCCAAAAGACCAAAAGTATATTTAACTGTAATTAGATTGTACCCTTGTATTTATTATTTGATAAATTTTCATGTTAAAATAAATAGATAGCCCAGATCTGAGAGAAGTCATTACAGATGCATTATTCTTTTTTAGGTGAACTGGAGCATTCCATTTCTTTTCTACCATGAAATGAAGTAGGAAAATATGGCATAATAAATGTAATGTAATTTAATATTTATCATTTAATTTCTAAAAATAGAAAACCGCACCAAAAATTTCATTTTGATTTATTTTCTTGCACACAAATTCTTAAAAAGAAACGTTTTTTCATGAAAACAAAAAATAATTCATCTGTATTTAAAAATATGCTTTGTAATATTAAAGGTTAAAAAAATAAATTTTTCATTTGAGATGGTAAATTTTATTAGGATTTTTTTCTTTTCGAGTCCAAGAATTGTTTGGGTAATTTTACATACATTCTCAATAACAAATACGAATAACTGTAGCGTTATAACTAAACTGATGTTTGTAAAAAATGCAACACCATGAAGGAATAATCAGAAATTGATGAAATTAAATGCACAAATGGCATGTATTAGTACAAATAAAAAACGAAATTTTCAAAGCAAAAAAACGATATTATAAATATCCGAAATCAGTATTTGGTGTAGCCACCACTCGCTGCAATAAGTGTTGCTATACGATGTGGCATGGAGTCAAACAGATTTTGAATGTCTGCTTGTGGAAGAGAATTCCATACTGCTTGTAAGCCCAGCAAAATTTGTCTTTTGAAGATGCAGGACGCGGATCACGAGCGAGACGCTGACCAACAAAATACCACACGCGCTCAATAGATACTTATCCGGTGAATAAAACCGGACCAAGAAAGAAGTTGCATCCCTCGAATTTAAGCGTTATTCATCTGAAAAGACAACTTGGTGTCAATCAGCATGCCAGGCTTTGTGCTCAAGAGCTCATTGCAGATGCAGCCGTCGATGGTTTGCCGTGAGGGGGATCCTGTATAAAGGCACCCTTTCATGCATTCCACGGGGTAGCAGAAGTCGACAAATTGACGAAGCCGACATTAGTACACCTGTAGCTGTAGACCAATATTCTGCCAACTGCCTGGAGGAAGCTTTACGATCATTCACTGCCTTTAGAGCAGGTTACGATCGTCACCTTCCGTCGTCCACTTTCAGGTTTTCGAGTTGTTCGGTGATCGTCTGTCTACTGCTTCCAAACTCGCATCACTGTGGAACTTTTCCGTTGCACACGAGCTCCTATTGCGTGATAGGAAAATCCTCCTTCTCGAAGGCCTATAATTATCCCCCATTCAAACTCCGTAAGTTGTTTGAATTTCATCTTCATTCGTCATTGAGGCATACTTAGGTCTCACTAAACTTTCGCCACTAACAAATCATCATTAACTATTTTCAACGTCTCGCTACAGCCCTCTATTTATACGCATCCCACATCTGTTCAGAGAGGCATGCCCGGTGGCTCTAAAACTTTAGTATTTTAAGTAACTTATGCGCGCGCGATTTTCCTTGTATTTTTCCATTTTCCTTTCTATATAGAATGTTGGACTAGTCTTTTTTGTTTGTTACTTTTTATTCATCAATTAAATTTAATTATTCCAATAACATAGTATAGTAAAAAGAAATTGCATTCTCATAAATTAGGCCATACCAGGAGGGATGTGAACCCTCTGTCTTTGGATTTGGAGCCCAAAGCGCTATCCATTGCGCTACTGGGACATAACGAACAATTTTCCTTTCTATACATGCTGTTGGGCTATTACTTCTGTTTGTTTCTATTTATTTATTTTTTAGTTTAATTACTGAATTAATATTTGAATTAATATTTAAAAAAAGAATTAAAATCAAGTGTCATCCACTATAAGTTTAAAAATTGTATTTGAACTTAAATGAAAGAACAGAAAGTATTTTATTAACGATTACAAATTTGAACAACGTATATATATATATAAATATAGATAGGAAGAGAGTAGGAATTAGGACTAAAAGAAGGAATTGAAAAAAAAACATTCTCCCTCTCCAACCCTAAGCATACACTTCCTTTAATTCATAGTTTATACTTTAAACTTGTTAAGGAGATTTTTTTAGATTTGTTTACGTTAAAAATGAACATGTACTCTTTAAAGAGATTTATTTGTAAGAACCGGTCTACATATTTCTAATACCATACATTTTTGCACTCTCTCTTAAGGCTAGATAATTTATACTCGAATAGACATCATTTGTTCCGTCACAAAATATATGTCTGTAGAGTGAATCCTTTTCCTCACCTATAAATTTAAAAGCAAAGCGAAATAAATTCCTCAAACAAACGTTCTGTCTTTCCCGAAAAATTTGCCCTAGAAAACAGATAGTTTTACACCACTGGAGCTATTTTTATCACTTTCTAGCATGATCCGCCAAAATGTTTAGGTTTACCCACAAACTCGAGAAAAGAAAAAAACCTCTCGCATAAAGTGATTCGATTGCAGGATTCAGGTATACAAAAAAGATTGTAAACAAAATAATATTTCACCAAATACTATATTTTATCCAGAAAAACTAGAATGGTCACTTTTCTGTGGGTGGATGCTGATAAAAAAAGAAAATCCCCTTATGGAATATTGATTTGAGAGAAATCGTCAAGAGAGGAAACGAGAGAAAAGCTGGGAAGAAGACGCTAAAAAATGGGAAGGCAGCTTGGGTTTTGAGGTTGTTTTAAACTTTTTTCAGGATTTGGGGGAATTTTTTGTTAAGGTTAAGAGTTTTTGTAAATGTTAAAAGTTATGGTATGTTTGGGGATGGATTTGGTTGGGAAAAAATTAATGGGTTTGGGAAGAAAGCTTTTTGCAAATTGTAATCGGGTTTTGGTAGAAAATAAGTTTGGTAGTGTAAAAACAAAGCCAATACCTTGCATTTTTTTAAACCCTCTTTATTTACTGAAATTATTAGGAAAATTTTAAATTTGGGCAAATTTAAAAAAAATGAACTTAATGATAACTTTTTGGTTTCTTTTGGGGTAAAGAACTTCTTTAAAGAAAATTTATTTCAAACAAGAGATGAATTTATCCTTCCTTCCCTCCTCAGTGCTGAAAGCTCAAGGTTGAATTCCCTTCATGATCCCTTTTTCGAGGCCAGCCTTTTTTTCGGTTCTCCACATCTTTGTTTTCAAACAAAGAGAACTTTTCAGGGCCCCAATCCATTTTTGAGCTCCCTTTTTTTTGAGGGGCCCAAATTGGTTTGGGGATTGAATTCCTTTTTTGTGGGTTTTTTTGTGAATCTGATGATGTTACCAGCCCGTTTAATTTGTTGTATTTTGATGAAGAGTTAACAATGTATAATTCTTCATATGATACACAGAACTCTAATTTTGATCTTTCTCAAGTTCCATTTTCCTGAATTCCTCCAAAAAATAAATCTTTAAATCTTCTTTCTTAGATACTTATCATGTGTGTTCTCATCTGTTCAGACCTGGACCAAATTTCACAAGCATAAATTAATACTAATTTAAAAGATTTGTAAACAATAGAATCATTGTTTTCCTTTTGATTAAATTCGATTTTATATATATATATTCGTATTCCATTAAGAGAGTGAATTATAAAAGTAACATGTTCCGAATATGCACTTTTAAAATTTATAAAAATTTCAAGTGCATGGGTAAATTTTTATTCCTTCCGTTTTATATAATTTAACTTTCATTTAACGTATTTTATCTCTTTTATTTTTCAAATTTTATTTTAAATAACGTTTTATGACTTAAAAAATTATTATTTCCTCCTATAAAGATGTGTCTCGAAAATTTTAGTTAAAAAGTAAACACGCACACAAAATAAATCTAAAATCAGAAACTGAAAAAAAAGGATCCGACGAAAAAGGCTATATATGTTCGTTTAGTGCGTTTCTGTTACAAACATATTTAAAGTCTTGATAGGAATTTGTTTGATGAATGAATATTTCACATTGTCGCCGGGTGATTATTCATTTTTATTTATTAACGGTGATAAATGAATTTCTTTTGCATACTGAAATGAGTGCTTCCAAACAGTTATTATATTTGATTTAAATCATGTGCCTATTTCAAAAGTATACAAATACTTCTCCACGTCATTTCAATATTAATGTAGCAGACATGATATTTTCTGTAAAGTATCATTAAATAAATATAATCAGCATCCCAGTAGCTCAAAAACAATCTTATTTAGGATATTTAATGAGAAACATTTAATGAGAGCCAACCCTTTCTTATACCAATATCTGTGAGTTGAGCCATTGAATATGTGGTTTGTAGTGGTCTGGGGAGGGGGGGGTCAAAAATGCAGTCAAACCCGTTTTCATCTCATCAGCCGTTTGTCTATCGGAAGGAATCAATCAAATTAAATTCAAATGCTTTCTGATCTAAAAGATCCAGAGTGGTCGTGGTAGCCTAGTGGTCAAGGTAACAGACTTCTAACAAGCGTGTCATGAGTTCAAGCCTAGTACCTCTGAAGCCCAGCTGTGCAGAGGGGCCGATGTACATTAAATCTGTCGAGGTTCAAACGTCCTTCTATTTATGAGGTGAGGAAGTTTGGAAAGAGGGTCAGCGCAGGTGGTGTCCTCGTCACTTGACCATTGTTTCAAAATTGCGAGAACCGACGCCGAAGGCCCTCGATTAACTAACTGGTGTGACGTTCATATTGACTCACTCACTTAATAAGGGATCCAGCCAATGTAGGATCAGAAACCTTCTCGACAATATTCATGAAGGACTTCACGTCCTCCATTTCGGAGGAATTTTTTTTTATTCATTTATTCTGCTTAGTTAACGTTGTCTGTGTAGGAAACAATAAGCGACTAACATGATTTATACTTTTAGTCATGGAAATATTCTAAACGGTACCATGACGTGAAATCTTTTGGAACTGAAATTCTCCGCAAGGTGGGTGGGAAGGGGGTGCGGATCAGGTGTGGTCCTCGTCACGAATGTGTATCGAAATTATGAGATTCATCGCTAAAAGCCCTCGTGCTGCTTTTAAGGGTGATACCTATAAAAATCAAAGCAAATCCAAGACTGTATAATTTTCTATATTAAATAAATATATTTTAGTTTTTTAATAAGCTTTTACTCACGTGCCATTTAAAAAGGCTCACAATTTCAAGCTAACTGAAGAGAGAAAAAGTATGACACGTCTTTAATCCATTTAAAACTGTAACATTCGGGATTTCTCTTTTTAGGTGTTAGTATCAAAAGATAGTAAAAATTGTGATTTCAATTTTAGTAATACATTGAAATGAAGCAAATTAACATGAAAATAAAATTATAATCCACTATTCATATTAAGCGAAGTAATCTGTCATTTGTTTCTTCACTTTATGTTAAATAAGTATTTACCATATAGAACAAGAGGTTAAGTTTTCATTTTGAAATTAGCAACATGGTTCTTCCCCGAAATGATATTTTGAATCAACACGTGCATATTCTTTCTGATGAAAAGCCTCATATTTGTGAAATATGTCAAATGACCTTCCCTCAAGATGTTGACTTGAGAGCACATCGAGTTCTTCATACCAAGAAAAAGCTCCAAACTTGTGAAATTTGCAACAAAGCTTTCTCACGAAAGGATTATTTAAAAACACATTTGCGTATTCATACCAAGGAAAAGCATCACATTTGTGAAATATGCAACAAAGCTTTCACCCAAAGTAGGACTTTAAAAGAACATTTACTTATTCATACCAAGGAAAAGCCTCATGTTTGTGAAATCTGCAACAAGTCTTTCTCTCAAAGAGGAAATTTAATAACACATTTGGGTATTCATACCAAGGAAAAGCCTTACATTTGTGAAATATGCAACAAAGCTTTCTCCCAAAATATTCATTTACAAACACATTTACTAATGCATACCAAGGAAAAGCCTCATGTTTGTGAAATCTGCAACAAGCCTTTCTCTCAAAGAGGCAAGTTAAGAGAACATTTGAGCATTCATACCAGGGAAAAGCCTTATGTTTGTGAAATATGTAACAAGCCTTTCTCTCGAAGTGAGAATTTAAAAAGACATTTGCGTATTCATAGCAAGGAAAAGCCTCACAGCTGTGAAATATGCAACAAAGCTTTCACCCATATTAGTTCTTTAAAAAAACATTTGCGTATTCATAACAAATAAAAGCCTCGTGTTTGTGAAGTTTACAATAAAGCCTTCTTTTACAGTGGTGGTTTGACAAAAACATTTGAGTATTCTTTTCAACTGCAAAACCTAATTTTACGATATTTAGATCTAACCACTTTTTAAGACAGAAATTTATTAAAAATATACGCTATTTTTAAAGCGAGAATGTTTATATTTTCTAAAATGTTAGTTGGTCTCTCATCCTACATAAATCATCAGTTTCAGATTTATAAGTTAATGCGTGAATGCAGAAAAGCCGACAAAATTTCTATAGTTTTTAGCAATTTATTTTCTCAGCAATGCAAACATGAACTTATTCCTAGAAGATTAGACTTACACTTTTTATCGCGCGTAATTTTACTTCAGTATTGTATTCTCATGTATAACCTAACGCTTTTTAAGGCGTGAATGTGTATTGCTTTTGACAAAATAAATTTTACTGATTTACTTGAAAGAATATTTCTCGTAGATTTTTGAATCGAGCACTACGGTCGCACCTTCATTTAATTCATGGATTTCGATGCAATAAATGAAATATTTCTGTCTTTTACGAGTGATTTTTAGGACTTCTTTGTAAATTAAAAATGATGCTTT